TGCGGTGTCTTTTTTGCCACCGTCAAAAATGCGGTGTCTTTTTGCCACCGTCAAAAATGCGGTGTCTTTTTGCCACCGTCAAAAATGCGGTGTCTTTTTTGCCACCGTCAAAAATGCGGTGTCTTTTTTGCCACCGTCAAAAATGCGGTGTCTTTTTTTTGCCACCGTCAAAAATGCGGTGTCTTTTTTGCCACCGTCAAAAATGCGGTGTCTTTTTTGCCACCGTCAAAAATGCGGTGTCTTTTTTGCCACCGTCAAAAATGCGGTGTCTTTTTTGCCACCGTCAAAAATGCGGTGTATTTTTTTTGCCACCGTCAAAAATGCGGTGTCTTTTTTGCCACCGTCAAAAATGCGGTGTCTTTTTTGCCACCGTCAAAAATGCGGTGTCTTTTTTGCCACCGTCAAAAATGCGGTGTCTTTTGCCATCGTCAAAAATGCGGTGTCTTTTTTGCCACTGAAAAAAATGCAGTGTCATTTTTGCCACCATCAAAATGAAATGTATTTTTTTTGCCACTGTCAAAAATGCGGTGTCTTTTTTGCCACCGTCAACAATGCAGTGTCTTTCTTGCCACTGTCAAAAATGCAGTGTCTTTTTTTTATTTTTCCACTGTCAAAAATGGAGTGTCTTTATTTTTCCACTGTCAAAAATGCAGTGTCAAGTTTTTTTTGTTTTTTGCCACTGTCAAAAATGCATTGTCATTTTCCAACTGCCATTTTCCAACTGTTTAAAATAACTGTCATTTTCCAACTTTCAAAAATGCAGTCTTTTTTTTGCCACTGTCAAAAATGCAGTGTCATATTTACCACCGTCAAAAATACCTCATTTTTCAACTGTCATTTTCCAACTGTTTAAAATAACTGTCATTTTTTGCCACTTCCAAAAATGCAGTGTCATTTTTTGTCATGGTCACAAATGCAGTGTCATTTTTCAACTGTCAATAAATGCAGTGTCATTTTTTTTTTCCACATTTTTTTTCACTGTCAATAAATGCAGTGTAATTTTTTCCACTGTTCAATAAATGCAGTGCCATCTATTTTTTCCACTGTCAAAAATGCAGTGTCATTTTTTTTTTGCCCCTTTCAAAAATGCAGTGTCATTTTTTTGCCCTTCAAAAATGCAGGGTAATTTTTTTTGCCACTGTCAAGAATGCAGTATCATTTTTGTCACTGTCAAAAATACAGTGTCTTTTTGTCACTGTCAAAAATGCAGTGTCATTTTTTGCCACTGTCAAAAATGCATTGTCATTTTGTTGTGACTGTCAAAAATGCATTGCCATTTTCCAACTACTGAAAATAACTCATTTTTTGGCACTTCCAAAATGCAGTATCATTTTTGCCACTGTCAAAAATCCATTGTCATTTTCCAACTGCAATTTTCCAACTGTCAAAAATAACTGCCATTTCCAACTGTTATTTTAAAATAACTGTCATTTTTTGCCACTGCCAATAATACAGTGTCATTTTTTTGCCGCTGCCAAAAATGCAGTGATTTTTTTTTGCCGCTGCCAAAAATGCAGTGATTTTTTTTTTGCCGCTGCCAATAATGCAGTGTCATTTTTTTTGCCGCTGCCAAATGCAGTGTCTTTTTTTTTGCCGCTGCCAATGCAGTGTCTTTTTTTTGCCGCTGCTAAAAATGCAGTGTCATTTTCCAACTGTCAAAAATTGCATTGTCATTTTCCAAATGTCAAAAATAACTCATTTTTCAACTACTGAAAATAACTCATTTTTTGCCACTGTCAAAAATGCAGTGTCATTTTTTCCCCACTGCCTAAAATGCAGTGTCATTTATTTGCCACTGTCAAAAATGCAGTGTCATTTTTTTTCCCACTGCCAAAAATGCAGTGTCATTTTTTGCCACTGCCAAAAATGCAGTGTCATTTATTTCCACTGCCAAAAAATGCAGTGTCATTTATTTCCACTGCCAAAAATGCAGTGTCATTTTCCAACTGTCGAAAATAACTGTCATTGTTTTGCAACTGTCAAAAATGCAGACAGTGGCAAAAAAAATGACACTGCATTTTTGATAGTGGCAAAAAAATGACACTGCATTTTTGATAGTGGCAAAAAAAAATAATGACTGCATTTTTGACAAAGGAAATAAAAAAAAATGACACTGCATTTTTGACATTGGCAAGAAATGACACTGCATTTTTGACAGTGGAAAGAAATGACACTGCATTTTTGACAGTGGAAAGAAATGACACTGCATTTTTGACACTGGAAAGAAATGACACTGCATTTTTGACAGTGGAAATAAATGACACTGCATTTTTGACAGTGGAAAGAAATGACACTGCATTTTTTGGAAAGAAATGACACTGCAGTTTTTTTCTGATTTCAGAAAATATATATGTTTTGTAGCATTGTGTAATCTTCAAGCCCTAAATTATTTTTTTAAACATGCAAAAAAACGACTCTGGCAGCGAAAGGGATAAAGGATAAGCCCTACACTCCTCTTTCCTGACAAGCACCCAATCAATGCTCATTACACTGCAAGGTCTCTCTCCTCCCTGCTAGTCCCTGGGTGCAGCGCTCGAGACAGGTAGGGAGGGGAGGAGGAGATAAACCGTGCAATGTTACGAATATTAAACGTTTAAGTTGCCATAAAGCGCTTTTTGTTTTTAAAAGCCCCAGACATTACTTAAAGCAGATTTAAATACGGTTTTGGTTAAAATTATTGTATTTTATCTGGACAAGTAGATTATCATGAGGGACAAGTAAATTGGGACACCGATTTAGTCCCTGAACAAGTAGTTTTTTTCAAAAATGTCCACACCCCTGAGAGTGGCAAAAAGAAAGCCACTGTCGAAAGAAAGCCATAAGAAGTCCCGTTTGCAGTTTTGTGAGAAGCCATGTGGGGGACACAGCAAACGTGGAAGAAGGTGCTCAGCTCAGATGCTTTTCGTTTAAAAGCAAAACGCAATGTGTGGCTGAAAACTAACACTGCACATCACCCTGAACACACCATCCCCACCGTGAATCATGGTGGTGGCTGTATCATGTTGTGGAGATGCTTTTCTTCAGCGGGGGCAGGGTAGCTGGGCAGAATGTGGAAAATTTTAAGGGGTATGAATACTTTTTCAAGGCACTGTACTCATAAACAGCATAAAATCTCAAGCCTGTCAATGTCAACAGTGTCCTGCATGACTTGGTCCACTGTATGAGTTCCAACCATGTTTCAAGGGGGGGGGGTGCCCTTTTCCTCAGAGCCTCTGAGGCTACAGTACCAGATTCTTCAAACATCTGCAGTACCAAACAGTTCTCCATAATATTTCCAGTACAAAACCGATTATTCTTAACAGCTACAGCACCAAACAGGAACAGCGAAGAACTACAAGTCTACATTTGCTAAACGGTTCCTAAAAGCAAAATTGAAACCCATTAGCTTAATCTTGGTTCGAAACATATACTGTAAATAGCCTATGGTAATAAAGAACAGAAAAAATCAGTTTTTCTAATTGATAAGGCACTTTATAGAAAAATAGAGCTTCTATGATAAAGTTAAAGGACAAGTAGGACCAAAGTTCTTTTGGTCCTACTTCTCCTGGGGATTATTACAGGAGTGCACTTCGTTCTGCACTCCTGTGACACTTTTTCAGCCAACAGCAAGCTAAAGTGGACGTCACTCTGCTGGTGCAGACTCTGGAGAGATCCCAACTTTAATGTCGGGATGCACCCAAATGCCTAACCGGCAGCTGGGTCAGCCTCTCAGTACACTGCTGAGAGCCTGAGCCAGCCACTCCCCTCCCCCTCAACCAGTGTTCCAGTGAGTGGAGAAGCAGTCACCAGCTCTCTGCTAAAGACCAAGACCTGAGCAATCAGCAATCTTTGATCACTCATCACTTTGTCACTAATCCTAAATTTTCATTTTGGTCATTCTAAGTAAAACATATGGTACCTATCTGCATAACCTACCTATTATGCATGCTGCGTTTTGCTAGTAAATACCTGGTTGATCCTTCAGCTTTACTCGACTTCCTATTCAGAGTAGCAATGGAATAGAAAGTGATTCTGTGTATACTCCGGAGCCACACTCATTGCACATGCTCTGGCAGATTCCTCTTCAGAAGCCATGGACCTGTTCATTTCAGCTTTTGAAGCCACCCATGTGACGATTTACATCATCTTTTCAGATGGCTCTAGCAGGTACCTGACATCTCCTCCCTCTTTCCTCCTCTTCACCCCACTTGCTCATGCAGAGATGCTTTAGCACGGATGAATGACAGTCTTCTCCCTGCTAGTACCCCTTAAACAATGTCAGCAGGCTTGGCCCCACTTCACAAAGCAGATCCAACTGAGAAAGTGTACCCCCTGCTAGGCAACCCTTATGTGACAACAGTAGACTCCATGCCATTTGACAATGCAGAGCAGCTCCAGCTAGGATGAATGGCAGAGTCTTCTCCCTGATAGCCATCCTTTACCCGACCTTGCAGACTATGCTGAGCTTTCATATTCGCTCCACCCACGCCTCTCGCAATATGCTATTGAGAAGGAATCGAGGGTCACGTGACCACAGCAGTTTGCACATAAAATGTGGTATTTAGAAATAACATTTTATAAAATGTATACTGTTGATTTAATGTTCAATTTCTTGGCTTTTTTTTATTACCAGAATTTATGAATGGCACAATACCTGATGGATCCGATATCTTCTATATAAAACTGTACAAACTGCACATTTTCAGAATGTGATTCATCTGAGCCATCACAATCCAAACTGATTTGTGCTTCCAGTCTCTGACATCACCACTGTGCTAATTTCCTTCATTTTTACTTTTCATTATGATGAATGAAGCAAAAGGTTCATAAACTACTAGAATAGATCCAGTTGAGAAACATGATCTTCCCACTAGAGCTCTAAAGAGCTTAAAATTCTTTCCCTGCATACTTTTCACCCAATCACAACTAAAAATATTGATTCTGAGGTGTTTTTTTTTATTACTGGTTTCAATTGTACACTGTGGTACTGTATACTTTACCACAGAATATCAATGTCTTACTTTTCCAGAGTTGCCAATAACTGGTCCGGCTCAGGACTATCTTGAATCTGGATCATCTGTTCACGGCTCAGACGAATGATATCGCACAGTGACTGAGAAGCGTTGGAATGTTGCTGAAGGACAAGTATAGAAACATAAAAATGTTTTAAAACTCAAGTTTAACAATGTTTTCTAGTGTTTAAGCTGAAATACACTGCATCTAAGCACCACAAACAAAAACACTATTTTTAAAATACAAAGCGAAATTACCATCCATTCATGTCTCCATGCTTTATTTAGCTGATAAATCACTTTGAAAAACACCTCCTAGCATTTCTGGTCATTGCAATCTCGAGTAAGGGCAGATGTTTCATGTTGCATTTACTTCCTGAAATCCATCTGCCCTTGACTCAGGCACGGAGACAGAAGGATGTGCATAGCTAAGAAAACCCCCCTCTCCTTACTAAAAAAAACTCTTGGAATGTATTACATTAATTGCCCAGGTAAGTAACTGTAAAAAAAAAAAAAAAAACACCACGAGCAAATATGATCTATTTACTAATGCTAGCAGCAAAAGGATTAAAAACAAAAAACAGTTAATGTTGATTGAGAACCTGAACTTCCGCTTTAACTTCATTAGTAAACCTCATTACAATAGTAGGATTTATTGCCCATGAAACTTAACTTTTGGGGTTAGTAAACGAACCCATTTCTACTGCATAATAATAGTTCATAGGCTGGAATGAAATACAGGTGTAAAAAAATCTTCGCATTTTTTTTTTTTGAAACACACACCACAAAATTATTTTCTTGGAGTCCTAAACCTTTGGTTATTTTTGTCACTTACAGTAGGATTGAAACCCCTCCTACTACCAGCATGCCTCAGTTTTGTACCAAAGCAGTACCAATCATGATCATAAGCAGAAGGGAAGGACCTGTGTCCCTGTGTACAAAATAAAAAGGAATTTTGAATTACCTGTAAATTATACATTCACTGGCCACTTTATTAGATACACCTTGCTAATACTGGGTTAAACCCCTTTCGCCTTCAGAATTGCCTTAGTTCTTAAAGGCATAGATTCCACAAGGTGTTGGAAACATGCCTCAGCGATTTTGGTCCATATTGACATGATAGCATCACACAGTTGCTGCAGACTTATCTTCACATCCACAATGCGCATTTCCTGTTCCATCACATCCCAAAGATGCTTAGCTGCTGTATTGAGATCTGGTGACTGTGGAGGCCATTGGAGTACAGTAAAATAATTGCCATGGTCAAGAAACCAGTTTGAGATGATTTGAGCTTTGTGACATGGTGCATTATCCTACTGGAAGTAGCCTTCAGAAGATGTGTACACTGTAGTCATAAAGGGATGGTCAGAAACAATACTCAGGTAGGCCTTGGCATTTAAATGATGCTCAATTAGTACTAAGGGGCACAAAGTGTGCCAAGAAAATATCCCCCACACCAATACACCACCAGCCTGAACTGTTGAGACGAGGCAAGACGGAAACATGCTTTTGTGTTTACTCCAAATTCTGTTCCTACCATCTGAATGTTGCAGCTGAAATCGAGGCTCATCAGACCAGGCAACGTTTTCCCCAACCTTCTATTTACTAGTGCACCGAAATGAAAATTCCGGTGCCGAAACATCAGGATACACTTGGCCGAAAACCAAACTGGACAGTTTTTAAAAATGAATATATTTTTCAAACGCAATTTTTTTTTTTGGGGGGGGGGGGGGGGGGGAATTAATGACGTAAAAAAAAAAAAAAAAAAAAAACAACACACATTGTATGCCCCAATTTTTTTTTGCAAAATACGAAAGCTGTTACGCCGAGTAAATAGATACCCAACATCTCCTGCTTTAAAATTGCACATGCTCCTGGTATGGCACCAAACTACAGTACTTAATCTCCATGGGTGATGCTTTACAAATTTTTACAGATTAGCAGTTTAAAGTTACAGAGAAGGTCTAGTGCTAGAATTATTGCTCTGACGTTCGCAGCAATACCTCACGTGTGGTTTGAACACAGTTTGCACATGTGGCCTACGTATGCGTTCAACACTGCGCATGAGCACGGGGCACTTTAAAAATTCTTTTTTATTACATTATTTTTTTACACTGTCCCTTTATTTTATTTTTTTTAAATCAATTTTATTCCTATCACAAGGAATGTAAACATCCCTTGTGATAGAAATAAGCAGCAACAGGTCCTCTTTATGCTGAGATCTGGGGTCAGTAAGAGCCCACACCTCTCCTCTACAATGTAAAGCATTAGATAAAAAAAAAAGTGATTTAAAAAAGCATTGATCTAGCACTTTAAAAAAAAAAAAAAAAAAACATTGCGGCCAAAAGCTGCATCAGTAGAATTTAGATTCACCTGGAAAAACTTTGAAAAGGAACAAGGTGGAGGACTTACAAAGCTGGCCTACAGATGCCAGAATGCCCAGGAAACTCCCACTAATTTGCTCTAGAGATCAGAGGTCTTATCCAATGAGCAATGGTGGACTTGGAAGCAGCATGTCATTTTTGAGGCCCCAAGGACAAATAAGGAATCGGTCTTCCTGATCTAAGCTGTTGCATGGATGTAGACTGACTGCGTCTAGGCAATGGGCAGCGATTACCACTGGGTGCTTTGGAGCAGGGCATATGGAAGGATGGTATGTCTTCATTGAGGCACAAGACTGGTACCATCTTGGGACGAAAGGATGGTTTTGGGTATATGATTACATTGTGAAAAATAAACAATTGCTCCTTACATGGGAGGCACTAACTCAAGGACATGTCTGAATGACGTGACAACAAACAAAAATACCACTTTTGAGGAGAGGTCATCTAAAGGGATATGCCTGTTGGGTTCAAAGGGTGGTTTTTCTGCAGTGCAGAGAGAACGAAGCTGAGATAACAAGGAAGCACAGGATGCTGCAAGGGGGATCAGATGCGGGATACACCTTGAATAAAGGTTCTAACAAGGGAGAGTGAAGCCAGGGGTTTTTGAAAAAGAATTGACAAGGTGGAAACCTGTCCTTTCAAAGTGCATAAAGCAGCACTAAAGCCCAAGCTTTTTATTTCCATTTTGGATAGAGTAAGGAAGTTGTATAACCCATCAGGTTTTTTTTTTTTTGGCCATCTTTGTCCCATTGGGGACACATCCTGTCCCATAACCTCAATAAGAAGAATAAATCCCTCCAAATTGAGTGAATCCCTGGTTATCACAATGGTCGCCAAAACTAGCATCCGCATTGGAAGTTTTCCCCTCCATTACAGTTCTGGAGACAACCTAAAATTTTGGATTTTCTTTCACTTTCAGAGAATGAAACATGAAAAATAGAGAGGATGAATCTACCAAACAGAAGCACAGACAGAAATAAAAACCTGACAGGTGTTCTAATCCTCCTAATCCACTAATAAAAACAAAACGTTTTGCAATTATACATTAAGGCCAATGTTCTGGTCAAGCCACGATTGCAGGCCAGCAAAAACGCAAGACAAAAAGCAAAACCTTTTTACTTACCCCCATGCTGCAGCATTAGTGTCAGGCTGTAGTTGTCCGATGTCAGCTGAGATTACATGACCGCCGATTGCTCAGTTCTCGGTCTGCATCGAGCAGAGAGCAATGGCTGCTGGTCACAACTCTGTTAGCTCCTCCAGCGCTCACTGGAGCGCAGGGCTGGGGAGGAGACAGAAGTGGCAGACTTTGGCTCACAGCCATGCAGAGAAAATAAGAGCCAGCGGTCAGTCAGGCAGTTGGGTAGATGTTGAAAAAATTGCCGAGACCCTTCCAGAGCCTGGAACTCTATGAGCCAACTCTAGGTCACTGGAAAACAAAAGCACCATATTTTTCACTCCATAAGACGTACCTGACCATAAGACACGCCTAGGTTTTAGAGGAGAAAAACAAGAAAAAAAAATATTCTGAACCAATGGACTGCAGACACAGTACAAGAGATGGACCAGAGACTGCGGACACAGTACAGGAGATGGACCAGAGACTGCGGACACAGTACAGGAGATGGACCAGAGACTGCGGACACAGTACAGGAGATGGACCAGAGACTGCGGACACAGTACAGGAGATGGACCAGAGACTGCGGACACAGTACAGGAGATGGACCAGAGACTGCGGACACAGTACAGGAGATGGACCAGAGACTGCGGACACAGTACAGGAGATGGACCAGAGACTGCGGACACAGTACAGGAGATGGACCAGAGACTGCGGACACAGTACAGGAGATGGACCAGAGACTGCGGACACAGTACAGGAGATGGACCAGAGACTGCGGACACAGTACAGGAGATGGACCAGAGACTGCGGACACAGTACAGGAGATGGACCAGAGACTGCGGACACAGTACAGGAGATGGACCAGAGACTGCGGACACAGTACAGGAGATGGACCAGAGACTGCGGACACAGTACAGGAGATGGACCAGAGACTGCGGACACAGTACAGGAGATGGACCAGAGACTGCGGACACAGTACAGGAGATGGACCAGAGACTGCGGACACAGTACAGGAGATGGACCAGAGACTGCGGACACAGTACAGGAGATGGACCAGAGACTGCGGACACAGTACAGGAGATGGACCAGAGACTGCGGACACAGTACAGGAGATGGACCAGAGACTGCGGACACAGTACAGGAGATGGACCAGAGACTGCGGACACAGTACAGGAGATGGACCAGAGACTGCGGACACAGTACAGGAGATGGACCAGAGACTGCGGACACAGTACAGGAGATGGACCAGAGACTGCGGACACAGTACAGGAGATGGACCAGAGACTGCGGACACAGTACAGGAGATGGACCAGAGACTGCAGATACAGTACAGGAGATGGACCAGAGACTGCGGACACAGTACAGGAGATGGACCAGAGACTGCGGACACAGTACAGGAGATGGACCAGAGACTGCGGACACAGTACAGGAGATGGACCAGAGACTGCGGACACAGTACAGGAGATGGACCAGAGACTGCGGACACAGTACAGGAGATGGACCAGAGACTGCGGACACAGTACAGGAGATGGACCAGAGACTGCGGACACAGTACAGGAGATGGACCAGAGACTGCGGACACAGTACAGGAGATGGACCAGAGACTGCGGACACAGTACAGGAGATGGACCAGAGACTGCGGACACAGTACAGGAGATGGACCAGAGACTGCGGACACAGTACAGGAGATGGACCAGAGACTGCGGACACAGTACAGGAGATGGACCAGAGACTGCGGACACAGTACAGGAGATGGACCAGAGACTGCGGACACAGTACAGGAGATGGACCAGAGACTGCAGATACAGTACAGGAGATGGACCAGAGACTGCGGACACAGTACAGGAGATGGACCAGAGACTGCGGACACAGTACAGGAGATGGACCAGAGACTGCGGACACAGTACAGGAGATGGACCAGAGACTGGTCCTAGGCATGCAGACTGCTTCTACAAACATTTGTGAAAGAATGGGTTGCACTCAGGAGCTCAGTGAATTCAAGCGTCGTACAGTGATAAGTTGCTAACTGTGCAATAAGGCCATCCGTGAAATTTCCTTGCTACTAAATATTCCACGGTCAACTGTTCGTGGTATTATAACAAAGTGGAAGCAACTCAGACACGAAGTGGTAGGCCAAGTAAAATAACAGAGCGGGGTCAGCACATGCTAAAGCGTTCAGTGCTCAAAAGTCACCAACTGTCTGCAGAGTCAATAGCTACAGACCTCCAAACTTCATGTAGTCTTCAGATTAGCACAACAGTGCATGGAGAGCTTCATGGAGTGGGCTTTCATGGCCGAGCAGCTGCATCCAAGCCTTACATCACCAAGTGCAATGCAAAGCGTTGGATGCAGCAGTGCAAAGCATACCGCCACTGGAGTATAGACTTTCTTTGGAGTGACCAAACACGCTTCTCTGTCTGGCAATCCGATGGACAAGTCTGGGTTTGGTGGTTGCCAGGAGAAAAGGTACTTGCCTTGCACCAATTGTAAAGTTTGGTGAAGGGGGAGATTAGGGTGTGGGTTTGTTTTTCCAGGGGTTGGGCTTGGTCCCTTAGTTGCAGTGAAGAGAATTCTTAAGGCGTCAGCATACCAAGACATTTTGGACAATTTCATGCTCTCAACTTTGTGGGAACAGTTTCATGTTTGTGCAACAGTGCACAAAAGCAAGGCCCAAAAAGACATGGATGAGCGAGCTTGGGGAGGAGGAATTTGATTTGCCTGCAGAGATTCCTGACCTTAACCCAATAGAGCACTTTTGGGGTAAATTAGAGCGCTTCTGGAGACTGGGAGACAGGCCTTCCCGTCCAACATCAATGCCTGACCTCACAAATGCGCTTCTGGCCCCAAAGAATGGGCAAGCATTGCCATAGACACACATCCAAAAACTTGTGGACAGCCTTCCTATTTATTGAGTGTTGACGCTATTCATTAGCTGCAAAGAGTGGGCCAATTCAATATAATGAACCCCTCGGACTAAGACTGGGATGCCATCAAAGCTTTTAAACGTCATGTGCACAAGTGTAAAGGCAGGCCTCCACGTCACATTCTTAGGCCCCAATACTTTTTTGGCAATATAATGTATCAAAATGGCTGCAACCATGCTCTAGTGGCAGAAATTGGCAATAAAGCCTCTGTACGGACTCATGCATGTGCTGAAGAGAATTCATGGTCACCTTGCACACGCTGAAGCTTCCCTGTAAGCCTGCAGAAGCAAAACAGAGTGATTTACCATGTTTAGGCAAGGTGTTCCAAAGCGTTGATCCATGGGCCCAAACAGTTCTAATTTTGTTTCATTCCACAGAACACTATCCCACAAACATGGCATTTTGTTGTTTATCTTTTCTCAGTTCCTCCAGCAGTCACCAACGGGGACTTCTCTCATCACCGTCTTACTACTTCAGGTTGTAGTACACAGCAAGTCGAAGTCAGCATCGTTCTTTTTCTGCCACGACGATCCATTTGGTAGGTTCAACAGTGCCCTTTGCCTTGTAGATTTGGATATGCTGATAAGGTGGTCTCACTCATGGCACCTTCCTGTGAAGAGTAATCAACCTTCTTCTCTGGTCTTCCTGGGTTCCATTCTCTTGCCTCCTTTCAACCCTGTTTTAACACACGCAGTATATCTTCTGCCCTAATTGCTCTCCAAACATAGGTTGATACAATTTAAAATCACACCTTTTTTTGTTTTTTTATAAACCTTGGTAAATGGTAAGAAGCTTATTGTCTGGGGTTACCAAATTTTACCTTTTCAAAGCATTCAGGGCTGTATATTAAAGTCCATTGAATTTTAGTCTCTGTCCCGGTGGTCATACCCCAAAGGATCTTCAGGGACTGGGTCCCATAGGTTGCACCTCAGCCTTGGATCTGCTTATAGCATTTTGTGTGCAGGTGACTACACCTGTTGCACTAAGGGGTTGAAAAAGGCAATGAGGAACCCCATGCAGGATCTAGTGCATTTGAAGCAACATTTACAGGCCATCCCCACAGTGTGGACTTTGGGATTGGCTTTAAAGATTTATAAAGGTTGTGCCATTCTGATTAATTGCTTCAATCTGTGGTATTAGATGGCAGTGAGCAGTTTATTGAAGAGTTTGAAGGTAAACACAAATAACCCTTCTTATGTGCTGAGCTTTGTATGTTCAACTTACAGAGGATAATGAGCATCTATGCCTTAAGACCAATGCACAATATACAATATTTATATGGAACTAGGTCTACTATTCATCCCTATTGGCAACTTCCAAACATGTTTTGTTAAAATGGACACGTTTTTATTTTTATGATTGGTCTAGACATCAAATATTGATTTGATTTAGATTTTTCTTCTGTTCGCTCACTTTGCAATTTGTAGATTTTTTTTTTTTTTTACAGCATTCTGCACACCTGCCTAAAACATCTGTACAGTACTGTACATATGAATATTACAAACAGTCCAACAAATGCACTACAGTAATTGCAGCAGTGAGAGCACATCCATATCAGGCCTTATTAACACCCACCATATCAAGACATATCAAATAAGCATTTACCAAACTAAGGATGAATACAATTATATACTTACATTATCATCTTTTGAAGGATGGATCATTTCAATTAATCTTTGAACAATTTTTTCTTCATTAAGCCACTAAATAAAAAGGAGAATTAAAAGCATAAATAATAGATCACCATAATGTGTACTCTATGTAAATCCTGACACTTTATTTTCTCCTACAGACTTTGTCAAATATACTAAGAAAAATGTTTTGAAATATAAATTTGATAACAATGCTTTCCGACATTGTGGAGATGAGGAGGGATTATGTAGGCAACTGGGCAAGGAAAACATGACTTGTTACAATTTCATTTGCGATATGGCACCATATTGTCAGCCACAACAAATTGTGACAAGTTAGGCCCGTATATTTCCTGACACCTCTGAAACTAGTACTATCCATAGTGTTCTAGAGATTAGTGATTTAGGCCTTGTTCACATGGGGCGATTACATCAGCGTCTAGTGCAGGGTTGTGTTTTACAAGCAATATACAAGTGTTGCATGCATCCCTGTGTTGGCAGTTCCATTGTTGTCTAATAGAACGCGGTGGATGCACAGACACAGCTGCTGCTCCTAATGAGTCATCCATGCGGCTGAAAGGACCCGAACGCAGTGAGTTTGTAGCCATGCATCAGCACTCATACAGATGTCATATTAGGTTGGGACACAGCAGCTGTGTCCATGCAACCACTGTATCACAATAGACATGAATGGGACTGCCTGCACAAGATGCACGGAACACCTGTGCATCCCCATGTGGGTAAAAACAGCCCTGCAGGGGGAACAGATGTGATCACCTTGTGTGAATGAGGCTTTATTAAAGTATAAAACCATATAACACATGGTAACCACTTGGCCAATTATATGAGAGGATATAGTATACTTAGAGCAGAAAAAGTTAGAAAAATGGGCCCAAGGAGCTTGTAGCAATACCGTGTTAAATAACATTAGAGCATCTTAAAGAGATCCTGTCTGGAACTCTATTCTTCCAGAAAGGCCGACACAGTAGTATTCCGTAGGGCCCTCAATTTGAGGGATAAAATTGCCCCAAATGTTGTGAATCCTCCCACTAAGATTGCACATTATACAATTATTAAAGGATAAAAAACTTTTAATTCTTTAAAAAATTACAAATGCGTAATATCAGAATGCATGTAATATCAGAATGCAGAGAAATACAAAGCAGTGTGCAGGATCTGACAGGGCAGAGATCTGTATTGTTTACATATAGACCTCTCCCCCCCAGTCATTGATACTCGAGGATCGCTGGGTACCGATGGGGAATCACCGGCCAGGACCTGGTGATCAAAAGCTGAAGCCACAAATATTGGCCTCGGTAGGGCGCGTGCCCCCTACCCGGAAATGCAAAATCACGTGTATGTACACATGATTTTGCGCAACCCTGACACCCTGTAGCAGTATTCCTTCTATAGGGTGGCAGACAAGTGGTTAAAGTAATGAAAGTAATGTTTTTGTGTGGTATTTTTTTGTCATATGTATATTATTTGCACTTTAGTTTTTGATAACATTGTTATATTCATTCTTGATGACTTAGGTGCTGCACTTTTGTTTTCACATATTATATTGCTTTAATTATAGCTGTTGCCAATTGTATACAAGATCATTACTTTCATTTATAGTAATATAGATATTGTGGATTTAGTCTTAATATAATTATAACCATGTTTTTTTTCAATGGAAATGGTGCTGACAAAGAAAAAAAAAAAGTTAGAAAACAGTACACTTTTTCTTTTCTAATATTTAGCATGCTGTTCATGGACATGGGAAGACAAAGGATAAAAAGAAAAAATAAATCTGTGATTCCGAAATATTTAGATGCATACTAGTCTTCTGATCTAAAACAGAACAAAAAAACATCCACGCACGGGCTTCCACCTCTCAAAAATGAAGGCCTAACTTCACATTTACTGACTCCCTTGTTTGTTTGGGCCAAGCTACCTAAATAAATTATTTACTACATTAAAAGGTGTGCTTGCTGCATGTAACCCTAGCTACATACAGTATACAGCACTGTGTTTTGGCAGTGGGACTTTCAATCCCACTCCTAGAACAAAATAGTCAGAGGCAGGAAGATGACATCACCCTCACCGACTCGGCCAATCAGAGTAAGCTATGTATTCATCTCATACATTTATTCTCATGAATGGCTCAGCCCAACTATTTTGTACTGAGAGTGGGATGGGAAGTCCTCATTCCACTGCTGAACAGTGTTGTATACTGTATGTTGCTAGGACTACATACAGTTAATACAGTGTGTCCAGCAAGCACACCTGTTTGTGCAGTAAATAGACTGTTTAAGGCAGCTTGGCCAAATCAAATTATTTAAAAAGGAACATTAAAATGTGGAATTAGACTAACAGTTTGCATGAAACCCACACTCCAACCAATCTTACAAAAAAAAAAAAAAAAATCGCTTTCCAGGAGATAACAGCCTAGTACCTAAGCATTCTCCATTAGTTAACACATTAAGTTGGCAATGCATGGATTGAAGTTCCAGTTCAGCAGGCACTGGCCAAGTTTCGATCCATGTATGGGCAGGCTGGTTGTACACAAGTTGATCAATCAACGCGTGTACAACCAGCCTGTTGGGTTTTTCCTAAATAATTAGTGCAGCAGACTATAGCTAGCAACACTGATCTTTTGTGTTCTGCTCATTGCACTTCCTGCACTCCCCACTGGCACCTAGCAATTTTCTTCCCTTCCACCCATGGCGGAAAGAAAGAAAGTGCATAAAATATGGCCTGCCTTGGCTAAATTAGCCATTTCTGCTTCAAGTTTAGTGCAGACATATACCAAATCAAACACAGCAAACACTTTTCTCCTGCACTGGGAATGGGCTAGGTGGAACCAATAAGAATGTTCTGGAACATGCTCTGCTTGCTGCCCTCAACAGACCGGGGTGCAAATGGAAAAACAAAAAAGAGGGCGCACCGACCTAGTGCATTATCGTTTAAAATATTTATTGAAAGGAATGGAATCCTGGATGACCAACTGGCTAACGTGTTTTGAGTACACATGGACACAGACAAACAAGGAACTTTATCTTCAGAACAACAAAAAGGGCATTTTCTTTTCTGGGCATGAGCATCTGTTTGGCTCTGATGTTCATCTCTTCCTGGTATTATGCACTTGTAGCTAACCTTATTGCTGGACTGATTTACAAGTTCATAGAGTACTAAGGAGAAAGAATGGGAAATGGATTAAGAGGTCTCTCCCTCAGTGCAGCTAGATATGCTTTGTTAAGACTGAAAGAAAAACCTCCTCACATAAAGAACTGGAGATTGGAATCAGATGCTAATGGGTCACGTGATGCTAGTCTCCACCTTTGGGTGGATTTGATACGGCCCACTGTCATCATTTATTAGCCTATATAAGAGAAGTGCAGACTCTTGAATGTTGGCTCTGAAGAAGAGGTTGTGTCCTCGAATTGTGTTAGCCAGTTGGTCATCCAGGGTTCCATCGTATGGACTCAATACTGTTTGGATCAAACATCTTGCTCGGTGTGATATGCCTGTGTTTTTATGTCCATTGTGAGTATGATACTTACTTTGTTCTTTCAATAAATATTTTAAACGATAATGCACTAGGTCGGTGCGCCCTCTTTTTTGTTTTTTTCCATTTGCATTTAGTGCAGACATATACAACTGGCTCACTCTGTCTCTTCTGATACATGTTTACATTAGAGCAATTTACCAATATATCAGTTTTCATGTGTAAAATCCCAAAAGGGTGGAAAGTACATATATACAAAAATGACAACAGATATACATAAAGCAATTTAGATTAGGAAAAGAAACATTTTCAGGCTTTGAACCATCACTGGCATAAATAATACACACTTAATAGTAACCAATAAGGTATTTAAAAAAATAAACATCCTTTATGAATTCATACACTAACACTTATTATAATAACCCATTAAAAAATAATTAACTGAGAATACGAAAGGATATAGAAGACATCAAATTAAAGTGGATGTAAAGACTCAATGCTTTTTACATATACATTAATTACATACCTACATACTAAGCATGAAGGTAAAAAAAACCTTCCATGGGCAGCAGCCCCCCCAATATTAACCTAAGCCCCACTGCGATCCAGCAATGTGCACAAGAGCCTAATCTCTCTGGGGACTCTTCTCATTGGCTAAAACAGCAGTGGGAGCCATTGTTGTCAATCACAGCCAATGAGCCAGAGAACGTTGGCAGGGCCGAACCATGCTGTGTGTGAATAGACAAGCAAAACAGTGGCTCGGAGCGGGCCTGCTTGGGTGCTCCCATAGACAGCTGCTTGCTCTGGGGGCACTGAGGGATTGGCAAGGAGCGCCAGTGGGGGACCTGAGAAGAGGGGGATCGAAGCTGCTCTAAGTAGAACATGTTTATTATTTATTTTTTAAATTGTCTTTAATATCACTAAGTGACTCAGTCAGAAATATGATCTGACATATGAACCTTCCACATGCATTTAGTTTTCCCAACATAACAACTGAACTCAATAGTAAATAAAGTCCCACTGTGTGGCAATTAATGTTTAGCCCATAGATGATACTCATTTGGCAATCTGATATTATTGCCTCAAATGACATTTTGAGCACATGGTGCATGAATTGCATGTATACAGTGGGCAAAATAAGTATTGAACACGTAACAATTTTTCTCTGTAAATACATTTCTAAAGGTACTATTGACAATAAAATTTCCACCATAAGTCAGTAACAACCCGTGAAATCCATATATACAAAGAAACTAAAACAAATAAGTTCAGAAATTAAGTTATGTGTAATAAAATGGAATGGAACAGGAAAAAAGTATTGAACACATGAGGAAAAGGAGGTGCAAAAAAGGCATGGAAAGCCAAGACACCAGATAAAATCCTTGTCAGTGCAAATTGATATCAGCTGGTTTGGTCTCTGATGGCCTATTAAAAGGTATCACAAAAGAAACATCTCATGATGAGTAGATGCAAAGAGCTTTCTCAAGAACTATGCAACACAATATTGCAACACATACTGACAGCATTGGTTACAGAAGTATTTCTAAACTTCTGAATGTTCCAATGAGCACTGCTGGGG